TTTGCATACTTTTGCTAAAAATCAGAGGCTTAATTAAAATTCAAATTGAATGATATCAATATAATTATTAAGTTACCAGTATCTACAGCACATCTATAGCTCAAAAGCTTACCTTGTGTCCCAAATCTGTCAACCTCCTGGATATTTTCTGTCTTCCTGGATTCTGGGAATTTTAGATGTGCATAAGTAACTTCTTCAGACATTGGCGAATATGCAAAGAAAGCTCAACAAGTGTTTACTGTTTTGTTGGTTTGTCTTTTTTTAAGTTTAAAAGAGAGCTAACTGCTGCACGTTAAACAGGATCTGTAATTTTGAATTTCTTTTTACAACCTACTGTACCCTCTCCTGTGTGTCTGCCCACAAGCTACTGCCCATATGTGGTACCAGAGCAGAGAGCTGCTACAAGAGGAAACATCTTTCTTCCTCATATTTCTTCCTTTTCCTCATTTTTAAATATCTACCAACTACATGAAATAGTTTTTGAAATGAGGTTTCAAAAATATTCTTACTACTAAGCAAGGGTACACAAATCATTAGCACCATTTGGTGGAACTATAGCACTGGATTTATTTTCAGGCAAAAATGCCCAGGGTGGGAGGATGTGGTTCTCAAGACACTAATCCACAGCAGTGGCCTGTGTTCTGTGTGTGTCGTGGCCAAGGCCCTGATAGAGGGGTTGCGTTAGCAGGAGGGAGGCATGGACACATGACTCCAGAGAGAGACAATAAAGGCCCTCCTGTCACCCGTGTGAGCCTAAGATGGACCTAGGAGCACCTAGTTTCTCTCAGTAACAAACATCTATTCAGGGATCTGTGGCTCCAGAAACACACCAAGAGTTCACGTGCTTGTGGCAAAGGTCTGTGAATGAAGATTCTGTGAACAGTGTTCCAAGGCAGGAAAACAAAGGTTAGCTTTTCTGTCCCTCTGTGGACTGGCTCAAGCCACATGAGCCACTTAGCTAAGCTTCCAAAAAGGGGAAGGACACGAGGTACCAAGATCAAACCGATTTGTGTCTTATTGGCTTGACTCGACATTCCTAGTATTCGTGACCTCATTTCTCAGTCACTGTGGAAGTGGAAGAATGAGAGGGACAATGACTACTTTCAATTGTCCTATCTCAATTTTCTTTAGTAATCTTCCTGTGAAATTCCTAGTGATATTACTGCATGTAAATAATACAAAATGGATACATATTTTTACTATTGTTCCAAAAGAGAATATATTAAAAATTTTAAAGAATTCAGTTAAAAGGTGGTTTTTGTTAGCATAAAAATACCCTCCACAATGGCTACTAAACATAAGTAGAAAAAATCACTCGTTCAAATTAAGTAGACATTGGCACAACCGAAATGAAAAAAAATTTACAACTACTAAAATATAATAAAAATTAAATAGTCAAATAGTTTGGGATTGAGAATTGGTGAAGCCCATCCGACCTCCAATGTTGTTTGACAAAGTTTCAGCTGGGGGAAAAGAAGGGTGGAACACATCGTACCCTCATATTTTATGTTTTTCATGCCATAATGTTTAAAATTGTTACTCTGGTCACAGGAGTCATTGTGTTTGTGACTAACAACAAACTCTCCATGAGGCAAATTGGCAATGATGTATTGAAATCTGATCTGGCTCAAAAGTCCCAAATT